AAAAAAAAAAAAAATTACTCACTTAATATATGTCTTTTCTACTAGATTGTAGTTCTTTTAGTAAAGGCACAGTATCTACTCACTGGTGCCCCCCTAGTACCTAGTCCAGTTCCAGGCATCTATTGAGCACTCAAATATGTATTAACTTAATAAAAGCTGGAAGGAATAAAAATATTTGTAAGATTGAGATGTCAAAATCTAATGAAGAGTGAAAGAGATCAGAAATGGACCAAATTAAAAAGAAAAGGGAAAGGTGACCACATGGAGATCCAGATTATTACCATTCCCATAAGAGGATAAAGAAAAAAAAAAATAAGAGAGAGAACTGGCTTGCTCAAAAAGATCAAGACAACAAATCTAAAAGTCAACATGAGACTTGTTTAAAATAGGTTTTGCCTAAGCCTGAGTTGTTCAAGTTAGGAAAGGGACAGAAGAGAGTGGAATAGGCCTAAAACACTACACAATGACATAAAGGCTCAGAACCAGTGTAATTTACATATTTTCAAAGGCATGGTAAGGTTTACTCGGGTTCTTACAGGCTATGTTTCTCCTGAACGAAATGTAATTTTTTTTTTTTTCATTAGAATGAATTCTTAGAACAAAAAGGGATATACTGAAATAATTGTTGACTTTTTGTGCAAATTTCAGACAGATACATACCATTAATATCTAGTTACAAATAACAAGGGAGCTCTGGTGGCATAGTGCCTAAGGCATTTGACTGCTAACCAGGAGGCTGGCAGTTCAAACCCACCAGGCACTCCTTGGAAGGAAGATTGGGCAATGTACTTCTGTAGTGATACTGCCTTGGAAATGCAAGGAGGGATCACTGTGAGTTGAATCAACTTGATTGCCGTGAGGTTTTTGTTTTGTTTTCAATGTATAACAAATAATCCAAGCAACTGGATTATATGAAGAACAACATGGCATCAGGATTGGAGAAAGACTCATTAACAGCCTGGGATATGCAGATGAAACAACCTTGCTTGCTGTAAGGGAAGAAGACTTGAAGGACTTACTGAAGAAGATCAAAGACTATCACCTTCAGTATGGATTTCACCTCAACATAAAGGAAAGAAAAATCTTCAGAACTGGACCAACAAGCAATATCATGGTAAATGAAAAAAAGATTGACGTCAAGGATCTTTGAATTGGAAGTAACAGTCAAGAAATCAAACAATGTACTGGGTCGGGCAAATGTGCTACTAAAGACCTCTTTAAAGCATTAAATAGCAAAGATGTTACTTTGAAGACTAAAGTATGCCTGACCCAAGCTATCATATTCTCAAAAGCCTCAGATGCAAGTGAAACCTGGACAATGAATAAGGAGACTGAAATAGAATTGTTAGTGAGGAACATTGAAAAGACCATGAATGCCAAAAGAATAAACAAACCTGTCTTGGAAGAAGTGCAGCTGGAAAACTTAGAAGAAAGAATTTCCAAATTTTGTCTCTCATACTTTGGTCATGTTATCTGGAGGGACCAATCTCTAGAGAAGGATATTATGCTTAATAAAGTAGACAGTCAGGAAAAAAGGGGAAGACCCTCAGTTAAATAGGCTGACACAAAGGCTGTAACACTGGGCTCAAGGGTAGCATCAACTATGAGAATGGCACACAACAGGGCAGTGTTTTGTTCTGTTGTACAGACGGTCACTATGAGTCAGAAATGACTCAACAGCACCTAACAACAACAGCAACATGAATGACAATGATTGAGGCATTAAGATAAATAATTGATCACCCTCTAGTTAGACGAATAGCCCCATTTTTCTGCCAGAAATGGAATAGGACTTGAGAAATAGTTTGTGCCTCTACCAGATATCATCACTTTTCTAGGTCAAGGCCACTTAGCCCCAATCCCCTCAAAAATATTCAACCTGTGAGAATCATAATGAATGAGACTCAACCCAGATAAGCAATGGAAATGATTCCCACCGATAATACACATATGATGTCATATGCAAGTTATGAATTTTTTTTAAACTGATGAATGTGAAATTAACTATTCTTTTTTTTCTTTGCATCTTCTGGGATGGTATAAAATTAATGAAAAGCATAAGTAAAAGAAAAGAAACATGTGACCTATAATTTCCATTTCTGATCATCTAAAGTTTTCTAAAGACATGTGCCCAGGACATTAAAACACATTTAAGAAAGAGGTGACTTTTAAATGACAAAAAGCTTTGAAATAAACATTGCTTGTTAATAAGTAACTTTATGCTTACAATGAGGTACAGTCTTAAGAGAAAGAAGAAAGAAAGAAACTGATTGGCATGCTCCTCCTGGAGTGTAAATTCTCTTTCAACAGAACTATCTTTGTCTTTAAATAAACCAACTTAGTTCATATCAACACAATAAAAAGTCAAAGTCTGCCTCATAACTTAACCATCACTGATGACCACTATTAATATCTTTGTATCTAATATTTACTACTTTATATGTTAATAGTTATATAAAACACAGGCTGTTTATTATTCAAAACAGCCAAAAAGTAGAAACAACCCAAATGTCCATTAACTAATGAATGGATAAATTGTGTTATATCCGTATAATGGAATACTATTCAAGAATAAAAAGAAAGAAGTAGTGACACATGCTACAACATGGACGAACGTGGAAAACATTATGCTAAGTGAAAGATGCCAAACCTAAAAAGATCACATATAGTATGAATCCATTCATATGAAATGTCCAGAATAGGTGAATCCATAGAGACTAGAAGTAGACCAGTGGTAGCTTAGGACCGGGAGTTCCAGCAGCAAAAGGTTAAAGGAAAGTGTTTTGGTTACTTCTGTGCTGCTCTATCAGAAAATACCACAAGTGGGATGGCTTGAAAAAACAGGAGTTTATTCTTACAGTTTGGAGGGTTTAAGTCCAAGTTCAAAGTGCCAGGCTCTGGGGCTGTGTGAAAGCCCCTCAACCTTGGGGTCCATCTCTGCCTCCTGCTCCCGGCCCACTGGAGCTAGAGGCATTTCTTCACTCAGACAGCTGCTGGCTGCTGAGGCTGACAAGCCCAAGGTTGACAAATAAAATGGTACAGTCCCATGCTACCAAACCACCCAGGAGGCCATTAATTCAAGTCCATTGGAAGTCCCAAGTTTGGCAGAACATGGCAGACCGCTGAACAACAACATAGCTACATGCAGGGTTCAAGTGTGCCATAAGCTAGAGACGAGTCCCAAAAGCAACTACTCAGCTGCTTGTGGTAGATCCTACCATGGAGTTGATTGCCAGTCTCATCATGGGGAATAACTACCATCAGCTGCCCACCCACTCAACCAGGCCCAGCCAAGTTGACACACAACCTTAACTACTACACAAAGTAACTGCTAATGAGTGTAGGGTGTCTTTAGGCAGGACAGAGATGATCTAAAATTAGATTGTGATGTTGGTTGCACAATCCTGTGAGTATAATAAAAAAATGAATTGAATTGTACACTTTAAATGGATAAATTGCACAGTATGTGAATTATATCTTAACAGTTTAAAAATAGGTTAAAAAAATTTATAAAGGCTGTACTGTAGCTGCTTCATCCCCTACTTAATATATCAGGGACAATGCTCCATGCCAGTAAGATAAGCAATGACATTATTTCCTTTAAGTGGCTGCACAACATGCCTCTCTGCATAGATGTACTGATATTTCTTTACTCAATGCTTTGTTTCTTAGACAGGAACTTGTTTCCTATTTCCATATTAAACACCTATGCACGGGCTCATTTGTTTGCACACGTGTATAATTATTTTCTTAGCAAAGAACAAAACTGAGGGGCAAAGGGGCAGCACTCTTTAAAATAATGTTTATCGCTCGGTTGTCCTCCAGAAAGTTCACATTAATTGACACTCATCCCAATGGAAAACAAGAGTACTTTCTTTTCTACATTCCCATTAATGTTGAGCATGACAAAACTTATTAATCTTTGACAATATCATAGGTAATATAATTACTTAAGTGTGTATTTCTTTGATTATTGAATTTGAGTAGTATCTCATAGCAGTCATTTGATTTCTTTTATGAAATACCTGTATTTCTGTGCTTTGCCCATTTTTTTCCTTTTTTATTTATTTATTTTTGACATATGCTGAAAAACTGTTTACCAAATTGTCATTTAACTTTACTTATGACATGTATATTCCTGCACATGCTAATATTTTATATACTTAAATCCATTAGTCTTTTTCTTTATGGTTGTTGTTGCTGTTATGTGCCATAGAGTCGGACTGACTCATAGCGACCCCTCCTTGGGTTTAGGAGGCAGTATCACTACAGAAGTAGATTGCCCAATCTTCCTTCCGAGGAGTGGCTAGTGGGTTTGAACCGCCAGCCTTCTGATTAGCAGGCAAGTGCCTTAGGCACTATACTATGTAGTCTTTTACAAGGTCAGTATCATAAAAATAAGATCCTGTATTTTCTTCAAGTATATGTCATTTTATCCTCATGTTTATTTGAACCATCCATTCATTTTCTACCGATCTGCAATCCTGTGGCATTCTTGTTTAAGTTCTGGTTTGCTAGTTCTGTTTAAAAGAGGACTTACTTAATTGTTGAGCCCATTTTATGGCAGTACCGGTGTCTCCTGCATTGCCTTCAGCTAAGCAGACAACTTCTTCTCCAATCTTCCACCCAATCAATGGATAAAAACCTTAAAAAGAAACAAACAAACAACAAAATCTGAACAAATCATATAGTAAGTGCATAATTTACTACAAATACTTCTATAATGCAACAATTTGATTATCTCAAAAAACAGCAAAGTAGCTCTGAAGACAGACTGCCTGGGTTCAAATCCCAGCCTCCTCACATTTACTAGCTGTGGTCTTGCCAAGTTCTTAACGTCTTAGCTTCAGTTTCTTCGAATGTAAAACAGCCAGCTTTAGAGAGTGGTTATGAGAATAAATGGAGTAATACATATGAAGAAGTCAGCACCCCAAACCAAACATACTACCATTGAGCCGATTCAGAGTCATAGCAACCCTATAGGACAGAGTAGAACTGCCCCATAAGGTTTCCAAGGCTGCAAATCTTTTTTCCTTATTTTTAATTTTTATTGTGCTTTGGGTGAACGTTTTACAGAGCAAATTCATTTTCCATACAGCAGTTCATACATATTTTGTTTCATGACATTGACTGCAATTTCCACAACTTCCCACAATATAACAACTCTCTTCCCACTTCCTCCCTGCAGTTACCTCTTCCTTGTGTTCTTCCCTCCCATGCACTCCCAGCCCCCGAGATGTATCCCTGTGCAAACAATGCCCTTCTGTTTTCCCATGATTGCTCACTCCAAGGATATGATATAAAAGTCTACCCCATATGCTTGTCTATTGTTTGGTTGGAAGCCACAGGAGAAAGTTCAGTTCTAGACCTGAAGGATAACTAGGGGCCCCAGTCTCAGGAGTCGCACCAGGCTTCATCAGGCCAGCAAATCTGGTCTTTTTTTTTTTTTAATGATTTTGAGTGTTGTTCCACATTGTTCTCTCACTCTATCCAGGATCCTCTGCACCAATCCCCCTCTGAGTAGTTGACAGTGGTAGCCAGGCACCATCTAGTTCTGGTCTCATGGTCATATATGCTGAGGATCACATGGTCTACCAGTGCCTTGGCTCAGGTGGTGCAGTGCCTAAGGCTTCTGACTGCTAACCAGAAGGCTGGCGATTCAAACCCACCAGCCACTCCTCATAAGGAAGACTGGGCAATCTACTTCTGTAGTGATACCACTTCGGAAACCCAAGGAGGGGTTGCTATGAGTCAAATCTAACTTGATGCCTGTGAGGTCCCCCCCCCACCCCCCAGTTTTTTGGTTTTGTTCATTCTTCTTTGCTGGATGAGAAGAGACCAATCTTTTTATCTAGATGGCCACTTGCAAGCTTTTAAGATCCCAGTCACCAGTCCCCAAAGTTGGATGCAGAATAATGTTTTTGTGTAGTATGTTATGCCAGTTAAGCCTGCTGTCTCCTGCAACCATAGTCTCAAGCCCACAGGTCCCACTACTTGCTCCTGCTGGGTAGGTGGCTGTGGCCAAGAAGCCACCACAACCTTGCCCCTTGTCAGCTCTACTATACACCTGGACATTCTTACAAGGGCTGTTAAGTCTTTACAGAAGCAGACTGCTTCTTCTTTCTCCTGCAGAGCAGCTGGTGGGTTTGAACTACCAACCTTCCGGTTAGCAGCTCAATGCCTTACTTAATACAGCACCACCAAAGCTTCTTGTTAGCTATAGGGATGTCTATGTCACTAGAAACACAGAAGTAGGTATTTTAATTGAGAAATAAAAGGTTATCACAAGACTAACTTGCTAGAGAAATCACTGTTAACTACATTTATCTGTGATTTCCAAACAATATTCCTAAATGGAAATAACCTCCTACAGTAATCAACATTTTCTAGCTTCCTTTTTTTTTTCCCCCAGTTGGGGAAAAAGGAAGAGCTGGGGGTGAGGGTATGCAGAAGATGGCAAAAAGAGTTTTTTAAAAAATCACATGTTAGAAAACAGATTAAGGGAACAGAGCCTAAACTAAGAGCTCCAGCTCTGCTGAGGTAGGTCCATAAACAAGATTCTCTTAGTTCGCACATCCCAGGATGCCCTTCTGCTGGACAATGAATAAGGAAGACTGCAGAAGAGTGGAAGCTTGTGAGTTGCAGTGCTGGTGAAGAATGCTGAAAGTACCATGGACTGCTAAAGGAACAAACAAAAATCTGGAAGAAGTAAAGCTGGAATGCTCCTTGGAAGTGAGAATGGCCAGACTTCATCTTACCTATTTGGTCATGAAGGGACCATTCCCTGGAGAAGGATATCATGGTTGGTAAAGTGGAGGATCAACAAAAAAGAAGGCCCTCAACGAGATGGAGAGACATAGTGGCTATAACCATGGGCTCAGGTATAAAAAGGATGGTGGGGCTGGCACAGGACTGGGTAGTGTTTCATTCTGCTCTACATAGGGTTGCTATGAGTTAGAAACAACTCGACAGGACCTAACAACAACAACAACAGGATGCCCATCATGAAAGAGAACAAATTCCTAGCAATTGTCATCAAAACCCTGAATATGCATGATTACTAGTTGAGAATTACCACCCAAAAAAAATTTCACAGAAAAAGAATTTTGTAACACATAAAAGGAAAAAACAAGTCTACTGAGATAAGAAGTCCAGGTGGCACAGTGGTTAAAGCACTTGGCTGTTACCTGAAAGGTCAGCAGTTTGAACCCAGCAGCTACTCTGTGGGAGAAAGATGAGGCACTCTGCTTCTGTAAATATTTAAAGTCTTGAAAACCCTTTGCAGGCAGTTCTACTCTGTCTTATAGGGTCACTGTGAGTCAGAATCAACTTGATGGCAATGGGTTTTTTGGTTTGAGATGTTTTAAACAAATATATATTATAGATAAACATTTGGCAAGCTGACCAAATACCATAATCCTTTTGGATTTCTCTATAATGACATCTTTCTAATTGTTTTGTAATATAAGATCTTTTCCTAAATATGCTTTTAATTTAAAGGAAACAAAGGGAAATGGGGTAGTTATTTCTAAGAACAATAATTAAAAATTCATTAGATAATATGCTTAACATAAATAAAAAATGTAGTCTAAGTATCGCAAGAGTTAAATATGAACGGAAGTGATATTTTATTAATAAACAGGATAAATTATATTTACCTCCAACAGTCTGTTGAGGGTTGTTTCCAGTATTAATGTCCAAAAAAGTACCAGTTCCCATGGTTAATTTCACATCTCCTGTTTGGAAGCAGCACTCTCCAAACATGGCTGACTGCTGGTCAGCCACCTGACGGAAATGTTTAAATAAATGTAAGGTCTACTGGCATGTTTCCCTGTATCCCATTGCCTCAGTTATTCTATTTTCAAGATTACACTTTTTTTTTCCTTAAAAAATTAAAATACCCTAGGAAAACAGGAAACCACAACTATAGGACTCTCCCTCTAGGACTAGCATTGTGTGGAGAACTAACATGTCTCAGGTAATCCTAATGTGCAACACATTTCAAGATTTTTAAGTGTAGCGTAGTGCCTAAGGCACTTGACTGCTAACCAGAAGGGTGGCAGTTCAAACTCACCAGCCACTCCTCGGACGGAAGATGGGGCAATCTACTTCCGTAGTGATACTGCCTTGGAAACCCAAGGAGGGGTTGCTATGAGTCGGGTCCGACTCGACGGCACATAACAACAACAACAACATGAGTAATATTAGGAGCTCTGGTGGAATAGTGCCTAAAGCATTTGACTGCTAACCAGAGGACTGGCTGTTAAAACCCACCAGCCACTCCTTGGAAGGATGGTTGGGCAATCTACTTCTGTAGTGATATCGCCCCGGAAAGCCAAGGAGGAGTCGCTATGAGTCGGATCTGACTCCATGGCAGTGTGTTTCACATGTTATGTGTAATATTAGAAATAAAAGTCAGAATAAAAACTGTGCAGAAGAAAAATACTTCATTCTCAGCTTGGAGGTTTTACTCATTAAATCAAAATAACTGACTTCACAAATTTCTCTTTAAATTACAAATACATTTAAGTCAGAAACCATATATACTCCAAGTCATTCCTTTTTGTTAAAAAGAGTTATAACATTTTGCAAATATACCTAAGTATAGATACAGATATAGCAATATTTTAAGAAGTAAAATTCATCTAAAAAAAAAAAAACCCTTCTGGACCAGGTTTGCTGATCTGATGGAGCCTGGTGGAACCCCTGAGACTATGGCCCCTAGCTGCCCTTCAGGTCTGGAATTGAACCCACTCCTGTGGCTTCCAGCCAAACAAAAGACAGGCATATGAGCTGAACCTTTACATTAGGCAGATATACTCCTTGGAGAAATCAATCATGAGAGAATAGAAGGATGTGTTTGCACAGGGAGACAACTCCAGGGGGAGGAGTGCATGGGAAGGAAGGACAGAGGGAAGAAGTGGCTATGGGAAAGAAGTGGGAAGAGAGCTGTTGCATGGTGGGAAATTGCAGTCAATGTCATGAGACAAAGTGTATGTGAACTGCTGTATGGAAAATGAATTTGCTCTGTTAACTTTCAACCAAATCACAATAAAACATCAAAACAAAACAAAAAACCTTCTAATCTATAACTCTTCTACATAGACCAAGAGGCAGTTTTTCGAACAGAGCAAGGGCATACTACATGGTTTAAAATCAGGAAAGGTGTATGTCAGGGTTGTATCCTTTCACTATATTTATTCAATCAGGATGCTGAGCAAATAATCCAAGAAGCTGGACTATATGAAGACTGTGGCATCAGGATTGGAGGAAGATTCATTAACAATCTGCGATATGCACATGACACAACCTCGTTTGCTGGAAATGAAGAGGACTTGAAGCACTTACTGATAAAGATCAAAGACTACAGCCTTCAATATGGACTATACTTTAACATAAAGAAAAAAGCTACTCTCACAACTGGACCAATAAGCAACATCATAATAAACAGAGAAAGAAAGATTGAAGTTATAAAGGATTTCTTTTTACTTAGATCCACAATCAAAGCTCATGGAAGCACCAGTCAAGAAATCAAACAATGTACTGAAAAGACTTCTTTCAAGTGTTTTAAAAAGCAAAGATGTCACTTTGAGGACAAAAGTGTGCCTGACCCAAGCGACAATATTTTTAATTTCAATTGCTTCATATGTGTGTAAAAGCTGGACAATGAATAAGGAAGACCAAAGAAGGACTGATGCCTTTTAATTATGATGTTGGTGAAGAATATTGAACATACCACGGACTGCAGAAGAATGAACAGATGTGTCTTGGAACAAATACAGCCAGAATGGTTGTTAGAAGAACGGATGGTGAGACTCAGTGTCATGTACTTTGGACAAGTTATCAGGAAGGACCAGGCCCCAGAGAAAGACATCACGCTAGGTAAAATAGAGTCAGTGAAAAAGAGGAAGACCCTCAATGGGAAGGATTGACACAGTGGCTGCAACAAAGGGCTCAAGCATAGCAATGATTATGGAGATGGTGAAGGACCAGCCAGGGTTTTGTTCTGTTGTACAAAGACTTGCTATGAGCTGGAACCAATTCAATGGCACATAACAACAGTAACTCTTCCAACATTCCTTAATCTAAACTTGAACTTACCCTTATGTTGAAATGAGACTAAGACTCTCTAAATGACTACGAATAAATAATTCAGGAATTAAATTCCTCTTCCCTTGTTTTCTTCCCCTAGTTTTTGGGGAAGCTATCCATCCAGAGACAGAAAGTCCGTAAGTCCTGCTTAACCTGTCACAGGAAATCAAAGACAAGGCCTGAGTTTCTATAACTTTTCCATAATGTGGCAAATTCTCTAACTTACTGACTCTCTTACACAGAGAGAAAGAGAATAAGCAAGAAAGGACCCTTAAAAATAAAAAACAGCTCATTTTTCATCCCCCCAGAAGTTTCTCTACTGGTAACTGCTAACTAAGGAGTCTATAAAATGTAAATACAGCTTCTTTAGTTTAAACTTCCTTATCATTGTTTATGGTTACACTGTACCAAATATAAACTAGCATTTGCCCTATCAATGTTTTTTGTCCTAGAGTATCAAATATAAGCCAAATGAAACTCAGAATATTTAAACAAATTTAACAATATGTAGAATAAACAATAAAGAATATAGAATAAACAATCTGAAAAACAAGATATAAAGGTGTCAGAAAAGGTTACACTTCCATGTTTAGAAGCACTTCCATGTTTAGAAGACTCCAAAACCCTTTAACTTAAAAAGGAAGAAAATATACGTTAATTTTATTCTGCCAAAGGCCCTTTGTTTCTCTTCAACCTAGCCCTTGCTATTCATATATATTTATTCAGTTTATACTATGTAAAGAGAAATCTTCAAGTTTTCTACTTACCAAGGCCACAATGGGTATAGGCACACCAAATATCTCTTCATCCACTGTTCCAAAATTGTAGCTTTAAATAAAATTGGTTAAGATGTCATCACTTTAGAATTATTAATTCTAAAAATAAGCAAATTGTTTTTAGCATAGGTCGAAAGTTATCTAATGAACACAAAGGCACCTCAAACACGTAGTAAAATGCTTTTCCCTACCAAGGCAAAATAAATTCGGGGACAATTTTGCTGGTATCTATGTCTGATGCTCATTATTACCTTGTGTCCCTCACGGGAGGCAGGAGAGAGAGTGGTATCGAAAGCAAGGAGGTAATGAGCCTGCTCCAACACATCTGAGCATAAAAATAGGTCATGAGAATCCAACCTAAATTACACAAATTGGAGATTCTAAAAGAAGGGAAAAAAAAAATCTTTACCTCATATGGGTCAAAAAGTCCAGTTGAACTGGCATTTGAAAAATCTGTGGCATATTCAGAACCTAAATTTACATTGGAAACAATATTGTCAGGTAGTATAAACAAACAATTGTCACTGGTTTATAATCTAGAACTTTGTCTACTCCCAAATTCATGCCAACTACTGTATTTTCAGTACAAAGTCTCTGAAGTAATTTGCCACTTAATCTTTGTGAATGTTTATAATTTATAAAAGCACTTTCAGACACATTGTCACTTTATGATTCCCAATGTTAAATGAGGAAAGGGGGTCAGAGATGCAAAGCGACTGCCTGTAGTTATGCCAGTGGTGAAGGGGCAGATCTGGTACTGAAAGTAAGTCTTCCCACTTCTGAAATTATGACTGTCGCCTAGTCTTGCAGTCAAGATTTCATCATATTATTAAAATCACCTTCCTTTAACAATAAATGTAAAATTAAACTAGCTTTATTGCTACATGTATTATTAGAACACTAAAAAGCAGTATGTCTGGGATACACGAAGGAAAGAGAGAAGAGAAAAATAACTTCTACTTTTGCTTTTATTTTAAGCAAATTTTTCAATCAACTTTCAGTTACTCGAGACACTCTTCAGGTCATCCTTACCTTTTGTGAGCTTATGTAACAACCACGTATCAACAGTCCCAAAGCAGCAATTTTCTTCTTCAACTGCCTTTTGCACCTGGAAAACACAATAGCACCAAATCAATTTAAAAAGGCTAAATTATCAAGTGCAAGATTAAATACAAAGTAGTAGATACAATATAATCTCGTTTTTAAAAAATAAAATGTATCAAATATATTTAGATAGGGTTCCTGGATGGTGCAAATGGTTTGAGATCAATTAACTTAAAAGTCTGGCAGTTTGAACCCACTCAGCAGTGCCATCAATGGAAAATACAGTGATCTGTTTTCACAATGATTATAGCTAAGAAAACACCATGAAGCAGTTCTATTCAGTAAAACATGAGGTCACCATGAGTCAGTATTGACTTGATGGCAACAGGTTTGTTTTTTTGGTTTATGTATATATATAATACATTTTATTTATTTTATAAAATACTCTTATCGACATAATTAAGTTCCAAAGACCAGGCCATATGCAAAACTGGAGGATAACCACATCAGATCACAAAATGGAGAATGACTATATCATTACATAACTGCCAAATCACTGAGAATCATGGCCCAGCCAAGTTGACATAGAACCTTAACGATCACAGACCGTATTACTCTTCCCTAGCACCTCTTATTTGTTATTGCCAGACGTATGCCATTAATGTGCAAAATAGTTGGGTAGATTTTTAACTCTTCGTAAATGGGAAATGTTAAACAATGAGTTAGTTGATTAAGTAAGGAGCAGGTGTATAAATACACATACACACACTCACATATACATCTCTATGTGTATATAACATACAACTCTATGTATACATAATACACATCTCTTTCTCTGTATTGTAATATATATAGCAAAACAATTTCTAGAATATACCCCAAACAGTTTTAAGTAATGATTACAGGTTTGAGATTTAGGAGGAGGGGGCTTTCATTTTCTATGTAGTATTTCTGAAATGCTTTAGTTCTACATTAAGCATGTGATGTGAAAAATATTTAAGCAAAAAATACTTATTTTTAGTTTAGTCATATAAACATATAAAACCAAAAAAAAAAAAGCACTGCAACTGAGGTGATTCCAACTCATAGCAATCCCCCCACTGGGCTTCCAAGCCAGTAAATCTTTATGGAAGTAGATTGCCTCATTTTCCTTCCATGGAGTGGCTGGTGGGTTTGAACTGCCAACCTTCTGGTTATCAATCAAATGCCTTAGGTACTGTGCCACCAGAGCTCCTTACAAATACACTGTGTTGTTGTTGTTGTGTTTTGCCATCGAGTCTGCCCTGACTCATAGTGACCCCTCCTTGGGTTTCTGAGGCAGTATCACTACGGAAGTAGGATTGCCCAACCTTCCTTCAGAGGAGTGGCTGGTGGGTTTGAACCACCAGCCTTCTGGTGAGCAGTCAAGTGCCTTAGGCACTATGCTACCAGAGCTCCTTACAAATACACTAGTATAGCCTAAAGTGGAGGATAGCACACTTTAGCCCACGGGCCAAATCCAGCCACTGCATTTGACTGAGTCCACCACTTACTCTTTCTTGAAACACGTTTTATTGTATGTAGCCTTTGAGTCCTTACTGGCCTGGTTTTCCTTCTTTCCCTCTGGCTGCTCCTCCTCTTCTCCCCAACATCAGCATGTTAGAATCCTGAGGACAGGTCTCTTTTAAACAATTCTTACCTCTATTCCTGACCTCTATTGTGAACTCCAGACTTACCAGATAACTTCTTTATCAAGTATCTCCCCCTGGAGGCATCTCAAACTTAACCTGGGCAAGAAAATTCTTGGATTTAACCTCTCCCACCACCAACTACTTTGCTTCTTTCTAGGTCAATACTATCTCAGTATTGATCACCAATATTTTTTTTTTTTTTTTTTTT